TAAACGAATCAAAAAAATCTTTTAAAAAATAATGACTCTACTATTACTGGTATATATTTCGATTCGGATAAGATTATTTAGCTGGCTTGGGGGAATTTTTCTTCGAATTCAATAGATAATGTGTGGAAATTAAGCTAATTGGTCCTAGTCATTACATTGGCCGCATGGCCATAAATAAGAAAAAATTACGGGTCATCCAATGGTGTCAACGGCTATCTGGCCTGGCCACCAATAAATTGATGTAACAGAGCAATCATGCTGCCATTCGCATTGCACCAATAACTGATGATGCCCCTAGGTAAATGCCTTCTAGGTTCGTGAGGCGAAAAGAATATCGAAGAAGGGGATCTGTTCCAAGACGGAAAACATTATCCTGTCCTTCTCATTATGACAGCTTTACAACTAATATTCTAGATAAAAAATGTTTGCTTTGAAAAACGATGAGAGTTTCAACTATGTATATGATAATATTTCATTAATATCAGGTTTAGAAAATTAACATAAATGGTTGGAAAATGAATACTTTCCTTTCTATAATAAATGATGTTTTTATCATTCGAAGTAATAATTAATTAAAACTAATGATTATTTTTGATGGTAAATATGACAAAATTATTGTAATATTCCTACTTTTTAATATTTCAAAATACTTAGAACATTTGAAAGTTTTATTAATTATTCTAAATTAATTATAACTTTTTATAAAAAATANCAGTAATGAAGTTTGTAAAATTTTTAATTTTAAAAATTTATAATGTATCAAAATCATCATCATCACTATCCGTAGAACCAGTTTCCATTGAAGTCCGATGCCATTTACCACTCCTCTCTGTCAAGAACAGTACATGGTGAACCAGCTCATAAATCCTATTCTTGCATCATTTCTTCACATCATCCCTCTATTCCCTGTTAGTTACCCTTCCAAAATATTTTGTAATATTTCTTTTAAGGAAATTATTAAAAATCTAAGTTATGATACTTATCATTAGGAACAATTTGTTATTCTAAATAATTTTTAAACATTTATTAACGAGTATTATCATGTTTTGATATATTACATTTTAAAAATAAGTTACCTTATTTATAGAACAAGATAATATAATTTCATATAAATATTAATTTTTATACATCTATTAAATATTCTTTAATTAATTTTCATTTAAATAGAAACTTTATAGTATAAAACTTGCCGTTTAAATCACTTTTACCTTTTTGAGAATTAAGTGAAATTATATATAATAAGAAATCTTATCAAGCTATAATATATTTTAATATGATTTATTGTGTTATAATTACTTTATGTAAGTCGATTAATTATATTAGGCCTATATTACAGTATAATTAATTGGCCTGTAAAGAGTAATTTTCTAATATACAGAACATAGTAGAAGTAAAAAGTATTATTTTTTTCAATTTAATTATGAAATTAGTCAGCCAGATGGAAGTAGTAAGGCATTAACTTATAAGGGAACCGGGCTCAAATCCGATCCGGACCCTCATAACTTATAATGGATAGTCCAGGAGAATCAATTTACGTCAACCGATGGCTTTACCAATGTGACCCATCCGAAGGAAATGAAAATTAGGCCGGCCACTTAATTAATCCACAATGTGTTAGATGTGGCACTCAAACAACAGCAATTAAACAAATAACGTTTGTAATTATCTAATATTTTCTTACGTCTTAAAGTAATAAAAGTCGAAATTTAATAATTTGCTAAAAACTCTAGAATTTAGCTATTTAATTATATTATTATGTTGATACGAGAACTATTGTAATTTTAAAGTTTATAAAGACAAAAACTAATTTCTTAAAATAACACAGACTACATAAAAGTTATTTTTTTCAATTTCATTATAAAAAAATTCGGAAATAATATTTAAATAGTCTAAATGAAAGTCATAGGTGTCCGCAGAAGGGGGCAAACAGGGGGCTTGCCTCTCCCTGTGATGGAGTAAAAAATTCCATAAATTAGAATCGTAAAAGTGATTTGAGACATAAATTTACACCCTCCATCATTGCAGTGATGTAATACTGTATTCTATAATATACCTGTGGAAAATCCCCCCAAAATTAAATAATTAGTTGTCTCTAATCTTTAACTCCCCTCGGAAAATTTTGTGAGGATGCCGATGTAAGAGATATATTTTTCAAATTAGAATTTTACATTCAAAGTAAACGTAGATATAATTTTATAAAGTTGAAGAAAATAGACTTCCTTCTATAGAGAATAAATAACTAATAATTAGAAAATGACTTTGACAATTCTTATAAATAAATAAACTTGTTTGACTTTACAAAAGAAAAAAATTCAATTGCTAAGCTTCTCAATTTCAGATATATTTATCCCTAAGCAAATATAATACAGTACTTCTATTATACACTACTTCATCAAAGATGCTCTTAGATCTATTGAATTTTAATTAATTCGAAAATTTTTTAATGAATAGATTTTTAGATTAATTAACTTAATATAAAAACAAAATTTTCTTTGATTATCGGTATTAAAAAACATTTAAGTCTATATTTTCAACGTGTAATAATAATAATATAATTATTACATAACTCTGAATATCTTCTATTTTGAAGTTAAGACAATGCAGAAAATACACACAAGTCTATATTTTATCCATTTTCCACCAACCGCAGAAGTAACACTTACAATTACTTGAAGAAAACTTCATAAAAAGACAAATAATAAAAAAAAATTCTGCATTGTCTTAACTTCAAAAATGATATAATTATTACACACTAAAACCATTAAATAAAATTAGATTTTCGAGTTCTGTAATTGAAATTTAGATAAAGTGAGTTTACTCTCCGAAGAAATAGTTTTTTAAATTAAATTTTTGCATAATTTAATATAAAGTTATATTTGTTTTCATTCTTATGTCAAAAATGTGTAATTGTTATTCATGTTTAATATTGAATTCCTGTAATGATATTAATTATTTATAAATATTTTTAAGATTAATTCGACGTATAGTAACTTAAACCCTCTTCTATAGGTAGACAGTATTGTAAAATATATCAAATTTATCTTGGAAGCACCATTTATCTCTAGTTTCGGAGATATTTTTCATTTTTCAGACAAATATAGGATTTTTATCCCACTTAATTCATTTATTATTTAATGTATAGATTGCCTAAAATCATATTCATTTTAAAATAACTTCCATGTTTATCTTATTAATATTAGAAAACAAAATAAAATACAATATATATAAAGTTTATATACTTTATTCTTGGTCCTTTTCAATCTTTATTTAGAAATGGATATAGTCTGAGTAAGCTTCATTGCAAACCACACATTTGATCTTTAGAAAAGCTTACATGAGCTCGTTTGTTTTTACTTTTTAATGTAAAAATATGAATTTTTTAACAGTAAAACTAAATTATATAGCAGTAATTTTATTAATAAATAAATATATATATATATATAAAATACCGTATTANTATATATATTTTTTTTTTTTATTTTGAATTTCAAAAAATATTAATTTTTCTTATAAATACCTACATTTTTCAGGATTGACTTAGAAATTCTGATGGATGGTTCGATTCGAGTTATATCAGGTTCTGACCCTAATCTATATATATAAAATTGCTTGTCCTGACTGACTGTCTGAATGACTCACTGATTCATCATCGCCCAGAGCAAACCGCTGGACCTAAAGAGCAGAAATTTGGTACACAGTTAGAGTTCGTCATGAAAACGCACACTAAGAAAGGATTTTTAGAAATTCCCCCGCGGGGGGTGAGGGAGAGGATTAAGTCTTAAACGGAAGAACGGCTTCTACTGTACTATTTTAGATGCGATTTTTTGTTTTCAACTACATTTAGTCTTCATTGAATACTTAAGTGTATTAAATTGATAACATTTCAGACATTGTTATAAATATTTTTATCTATTTCGATTTTAAAAATGTTCGAACCGTTTTAAATTCGAATTTGTTATTGCATATTGGTTCGATTATAGAACGATTGTAAACGCTCCAGAAAATTGATCAAATTGAAAATAGTTCGTTTGATGATTCTCGGCAATTCTCTTCAGCAGTAGGTATTATATAGACCTAACAATTACTATAGTTATTGAAATATTGAATGTAAATGGGGTTTGCTTGCAAAACTTCCGCGGACGAATTCGCGGGTAACAGCTAGTATACTATATGCCTGATAACTCTAGTCCCTTATTTTGTGCGTCCAGTCGAAGTCAAGAAGAACATGGATCTTTTAAAGGATCTCTTAGTGCCTTAATTTTTAATATAATTGAAAATTTATAAGACAGTTGCTTAAAAAACAGTTTAAAATATGTACAAATCACAAAATGTACAGTAAACTTTGCTACAGCGCTCCCCAAAATAGTGAAATTCTCGTAAAGCAAATACGGATCTTCTCCTAAGTATTAAATAGAGAAACTGTGTATGTGAACTAATAAATTTACGATTTTGCATTACAAATCATTATCATCAAATGATGTGATTTATATACCGTTACTACAATAAATAACATTTTTATTATTTGAAGTAGCTCGTCTCAGCGCCAACTCAATTCTGTGTTAATTTTATTGATAGAGATGAAAAAAATGACGGCATTAAATAGAAGTTTAACTGTACAGTACTGTACAGTACACTGCAGATAAATAAGTTTACAGTAAAGCCCGAATAGAAAGAAAACCTGTCTAAACAAAAATAAATTGTTCCGAACGAAGCTATTTTTATGTTAAAAAAGAACCTGTTCAAAACGGAAACCGGATAAAAATATTCGGTACCGTGTGATTCTGGTTTACACAGATTTAACTGTATTTTGTTTTCGTCATATTTCAAATCAAATGCGGTAAAACCTGTGTAAAACGGAAATCGGCTTGGCAGGTTTCCGTTGTAGGCCTACTCAGTTTCAGTTTTGAACAGATTTTGCTATAATTTAAATTATAGAAGTTAGGTGTTTTGTTTATTTATTTTTAGATTAAATAATTAAGATGCTTGCTAAGTAAACNAATCTCTTGCGTCATCTGTACGAGTGGGCGAAAGTAAGCGTGTAATTTTGCGGCAATCGTATCTGTTTACCTATTGAGTAATGAAAAAAATTGTCCTTTGGTAGATAAAGCCTAGCGTAAATCAAGTCAACCTAGAATCCTGTTGCGTGATGCCTCCGGAGATGATTCAATTTGCTAAAGAGAATGACATTCAACTCCTCACACACAGCGATCCTAAAGGTTAGTTTCATTTGGTTTCATAATTACTTATTTAAATTTTCTATTAATGTCCAATTTGAAATTTTCATTTAGATATTCTTCCTCACGACATGATTCTGAAGATTTTTAAGGAAACGACGCATGACATCGATCCCAAATCCTGGGGCATGCAGTGGATCACGCGTTATTCAGTAATGGTTAAAGGAAGAGGGATCATACAGAGCAAAGGATTCATACTGTGCTTATCTAAAATAACATGAAAATGTCCTCACGTAATTTGTATATATTGAAGCAATTTAACCAAGATTCTAAAACTGTAGATGTTTTCAATTAAAGTTATAAAGATGTAAATATATTAAATTATTTAAAACTGCATTTGTTCGATTATAAGTATAAAAAAAGAACTTGGCTACAACGTAAACCTGCTTAAACGGAAAATACCTGAACGTAGCGTTTTTCTATTTTAACATAAAACCTGTATAAAACAGTAACCTGCCAAGCCAGGAAAAATATTCGATACCGTACGATTCCGTTTTACACAGGTTTTATTGTATATACATATATCATATATTACAGTATTTTATATCGCAATACTCAAAGCTTCTGTTCATACACAGGACAAGAAGGGCTTTTGATCCAGTTACTTCCAAAATTTAGTTTTTACGTAAAATAAAATCAAACAAGAGAAGTGATATAAATTAAAATTTTATAGATACAGGAAAACCTGTGTAAACCGGAATTTCTCGGTATCGAATATTTTTTCTATCTTGGCAAGTTTCCATTTTGATCAGATTCTTTTTAACGTTCCGAAGAAACTTTTACGTTTAGACAGGTTTCCTTTTTATTCGGATTCCGTTTTGAACAGGTTTTACTGTAATTGCTAAAATCTACTTTTATTTATTTTATTTAAATATTTTCTATGACTTTTAGAAAGACGAGAGGCCCTAAATTTGTGTTAAGGAGGGCCCAACCTCATCTTTCTCAATCAACTTATGATTTTCTTTTGAATTTATTCTGAATAAATGGAATTCTAAACTTTGGGATTATTTAGAAAATATTATTTTCATAATTATCAGAAAAAAATATTAATGTCTTTATAAATAATCTTAAATTATACACGTGCAAAAAATTGTTACAAAATTATAGTCATTTAGTTTTGAATAAAATATTATCATTATCTATACAATAGTCACGGGCTATATTTATTTTAATTTCATTTCCGCAGGAAACTTTAATTTCTTACAGTCCCATTTCATAAAAAATAAAGTAAATAGTCAATAATTTTCGTGATAAAAAAGATAAAATGAATTTAAAAAATACGAAAATAAATCTAAATTGCACTATGTAAACTCATATTTATATTTAGAACGTATAAAAATACAGTAAAACCTGTCCAAAACGGAACCTGAATAAAAAGGAAAAATTCTTCTGAATGGAACGATTTTCTATATTAAAAAAATAAATATTCTGTACCGTGCGATTCCGGTTTACACAGGTTTTATACTGTATTATTTTATATAAAGTTCAGAATTTAAACTTAAAAACCATATTACAGTTGGTTTGTATTAAAGATCATCGTACTTTAATTATAACATTTTTTTCTTTTTACTTTTTGAGGCAAAGATAACAATTTCCTTCTCATGCTAAATCACGTAATGTTACTTTTTACCATTTAAAGATCTTATCGTGAATCTTGCTTCTTTCTACTGTACCACTATCAAAAATCTTGAATATTGTATGAATTTTTTTCTCTCACAATGATAAACTTCATATACAGGAAACTCCATTCAAAATTAAGTTAATTTTTCTTTAAAACTATCAATATTAACGAAAAAAAATTTATGAAATAAAAGTTTCGTTTATTATCTGTACACTGTGTACATAAAATTTAGTTTTCGTTTACAAAAAATGAAATGAATCCTTTTTTTTTCAAATAAGAGGGATACAAATATAGCCTAAATATTCAAGCTTATAAAAATGCTTTTATTTTTATTTAAATATATTAATTTATATAGTAAAACCTTAAAACCTGTGTAAGACGGAATCTCAGGGGAGCGAATGTCTTTTCCGGCTTGGCAGGTTTTCATTTTGTATAGGTGTTTTGTTAACGTAAAAAATGGCTACGTTCCGAAGATTTTTTTCCTTTTAGACAGGTTTCCGTCGCATTGAGGTTTCGTTTTGGACTGGTTTTACCGTATAATTTAAAATTCGTAAATGAAATTTGACTGTAAAACATATTTTGAAAATTTATAATTTAAATGTTAATAATTTGCTTTAAAATTGTTTATTTTATAAATTATTTAATTAATTAACTAATTTATTCATTTATGCACTTAAATTTTATTGCATTATAAATTTACATAAAGATAAATTTTATATAGGTATGCACCAATTAGTCATTAATATTTATGTATGTGAATTATGTATCTATGTAGCCTATACAGTAAAACTTGCGTAAACCGAAGTCGTGCGGAACCAAATAGTTTTTCTGAATTGGAATGTTTTTGTTTTACTAAGATTCCGTTTTGAACAGGTTTAACTGTGTGTAATAAATAGCATTTTATGCTTTCTATATACACGCTTAAGAAAATACAGAATTTTCACAATTATTGGATTAACTCTTACAATTAGATAACATCCTTAATAATAAAACGTGAATCACAATTAGATGAAACTAAGTTCATAGCAACTAAACCATAAAACCTGTGCAAAACGAATCCTTAATAAAACGAAAACCTGCATAAACAGAAAAAAATGGTAGAAACCCAGCGATTTTCTGTGTTAAAAACCTGTTCTAAACGAAAACCTGGCAAACCGAAAATATTCGGTAACGTACGAGTCCGCTTTATACATATCAAACAGCTAAATCGCTATTTCGCTAGGCGTGAAGAAATAGAGAGAGATGAGCCTCGAATGGCGTGAAGTATCATCGTCGTCGTTTCGGATGCAGGAGTTAGGCAGATTCCTGCCTTCATCGGCCTCAAGATCATTTTTTATGTTTTAAATCTTTTTCTAGGTTTGTTCTAATTTCTATTTTTGGCTATTTCTCTTAGTCCATCCTCATGTAATAGTTCCATTTGCTACTATAAGAGTTTATTTCTTTACTCTATTGCTACATTTTAGTTCTTGTCTACTTGTCGACTTAGAATACAGTAAAATCGTGCGGTACCGAATATAAATTTTTGTTTACACCAGTTTCCGTTTTAAACGGGTTTTTTAAAACAGAAAATCGTTCCATTCCGAAGAATTTTTTTTTCATTTAGGCAGGTTTTCGTTTTGGACAGGTTTTACTGGGTACATTTTTCAAATAATTTATTTTATATCTTTTAAAAATAAAATTATATTTTAGTTTAAAAATAAAAATATTTAAATTCCTTTATAATTTTAATTCCTTGCAAATTTAACTAATTTTGAAGTAAATTTTATTAAAAATTTTACGCTTAATAATTGCAATAAATTTAATATAATAAAAGTACATTTATAAATGTTTATTTTAAGACATTTTTAAAAGTATATTTTACTTAATAAAGTTGAAAACTTAAAATTTATTACTCCCATCGCATTAAGTAGAGCAGATAAATTCTTATATTTATGTTGTTTATATTTAAAATTTATGTTTAATTAATGATAAATCATCATTAGTTCGTTAAAAGTATACTAATTGTATGTCAAATATGTTTATTCCGCTGGAAAAATGCAAATTTATATCACTGATATCATTTCCATCCTTGATTTTCATATAGATTTGCGTAGAAAATCAGTAAATAACGTGCGAAATCTTTATTAAATTGACGAAATAACATTTAAAATTTATTTCATAACTAATTAACAATTAATGGGAAGCATTAATTGATGATATTTAAATTAATTTACCATTAAAATCCCTCATGTAGTTCAAGAATTAATTAGCAGATTAACGAATCTGAATGTATAGGCCTATACGAATGTAGTCATCCTTTCAAAAAANATATAAAACAAGAATAGTCTATTACTTACGTTTCAAGTCTATAGGCAATTTTTTTAAAGTAAATTATAGGTTATATCGGCAAGAACATGCCCACGCTTTGTTCCTCATATTTATGTTGTTTATATTTAAAATTTATGTTTAATTAATGATAAATCATCATTAGTTCGTTAAAAGTATACTAATTGTATGTCAAATATGTTTATTCCGCTGGAAAAATGCAAATTTATATCACTGATATCATTTCCATCCTTGATTTTCATATAGATTTGCGTAGAAAATCAGTAAATAACGTGCGAAATCTTTATTAAATTGACGAAATAACATTTAAAATTTATTTCATAACTAATTAACAATTAATGGGAAGCATTAATTGATGATATTTAAATTAATTTACCATTAAAATCCCTCATGTAGTTCAAGAATTAATTAGCAGATTAACGAATCTGAATGTATAGGCCTATACGAATGTAGTCATCCTTTCAAAAAATCGTAAAAAATTATATTAATACTGTATAACGAAAAATTCTTTCAGATGGAGTAATTATGTCAAAGTTATAGTCTATTGCAAATTTTTAATTTTTAAATTAAATATTTATCTTCACTAAATTCGTTTCTAGCAAATTGTATGCTCTGTACTGCACAGTAGTTTATACTAACATCTTACATAGACTTTTGTACAGTACATAGTCTAGTAAAACCTGTTCAAAACCGAAAAAATATTCGGTACCGCGCGATTCCAATTTACACAGTTTTTACTGTATAATAAAATATCAGTTATACTGTATTTGAAAACAATTTTCTAATACAGTAAAACCTGTGTAAGACGGAATCGCACCGAATATTATTTCCATTTTGTGCAGGTGTCTTGTTAAGAAAATAATCGCTACGTTCCGAAAATTTTTTTCCATTTAGACAGGTTTCCGTTGTATTCGGGTTCTGTTTTGGACGGTTTTTGCTGTAATATCAATAAAATTTGCTGTAAAATTTAGTTTACGATTGACATTCACGACTTTTCCTGGAACACATTAAAAACAAAATATAATTAACTGACTTTGGGTCATAATATACTTTTGATAGCAATTTTTAATAAAATTTTATCAACTATATAATAAATTAAGAAATAATTTAATTAGATTTTAGTTTGTTATTGAAAATTTATGTAAATTTTAGCCATAAAATATTTGAAAGAAATTAAAATTTCCAGTTTGTAGAAGCATTATTTTAGTTTTTAGTGAATAATTTTATTAAATTAAATTAATACAAAATTAATTCTTAATTATTTATTTCTTATAGCTTGATTTTCAATAATGCAATTTATATTTTAGAATTTACAAATAAAGATATGTAAATTTCTCGCTTTGAACGAATCGTGTAAAAAATGATTATTTATTTATTTATTTATT